GAAAAAAGACATACCTGGACAGCGTGCCCTCGTAGCTTTTGCGACATATTGAGGCGACGCTATCTTCATTGCTGCTTTCAGCAAGAGCTGCGATGAACGCAGCGATGAACTCCAGTGCTCTTAAGAGAAAGCAGTTAAGTAGAAACAAATTAAATGAAAACGCTGACGAAGACAGTAAGAAGGAAATCGTGTTGAAGAAGATAGTAAGACGGAAATCGAAGGCTGAAGAGTTGGGGAGGCTCTCGTTTACTACATGTGTTACTGAAACAGAAGCGCGCATATTTTGAACTACTCAACAATATGTGCAGATAAAGAGGAAAAATAGGGAAGGAAACTAATGATAAAAAATAAGGAAACATGGGCGTACGTGAGGATTAAGATTCCCGAAAAGAAGCTTCAAGGCCGATAATTTCACAAAATCCCACAAGAAAGTTGATATAGGAGTTCATGTTGCATTTAACAATCTTTCTAAAATTGAGTGAAATAGCATGCTAGGCTTCCGCGGGATCCAAAGCCACGGACTTGTAAAACTGTCTTTAGCCGAAGCGTCACGACTACTGCACACCTACTGTATGTATAACGTCGGACTGATAACACTGGGTCAATTAAAGATAATCTTTACTTTAAAATTCAAGTTTGGCAACTTTCCAAGAAACTCCTTAACCTCAGCCATAAGAAGCGCTACGCCCCGCATATTCTCATAACTGAGGGAGGGCCAGACATTAACTTCAAGCGATCCTCTTCCCCAGTGAAGAAAAAAAAGTTGGTACGCATGCCAGCTACCAACGTCAGCGATGACTGGCCTTGTTGAATTACACTCTTCCACCGTCGCAGCCCGATGCCATCCTTTGCGAATCGAGTGATTCGCAGTCTGACACCGGCCGGCTCTAAGCCTCCACTGTAGTAGAAGGGAACTCACAACATGGTGGTTCTACGCATCCATGCAACACCTCTACAACGAACTGACCAAATATTACCCACCTGTGTAGGCCAAGAAGCGCTTTCGACCCAGGATAGTGTCGTTGCTCGTTCTCGAACGTAACCATCGACTTCACGCTACGGTAAGAATCCGGATTCTTTTCACGGAGATCGAGTAACTTGTTGGTTTTCTCGCGGACATCTGCTTGCACGAAGTGAAATATTCTCCCTAGCAGACCAATGAATCTGTAAAAAACGAAAGAATTTCAGGCAGAAACAATGAGCCAACTCTGTTATTGGAACTTACTTATTTCAACTCCTCATAAGGCACCTATAAAATGCGCCAAATCAACGTCTTTGGGATTATCGCGTACGGTGTGTATGCGGTTGTTTAATCGCAATGGAATCCTTTTACTAGCATTTTATTTTTTTGAATACTTAGGTTTCTATATGATCGTCGACCAGTCTAGATGATTAAGATACTCTATCTGGTTCGGCCAGACGCACGATTGGCTGTGGCTCCATTCACTACCGGATCGATTAGGCAATATTTACTGGTTGAAGCTTTTGTATGTCATTGTTAAATAAATTTGGGAATAACCGGAAGGCTAAAGCTTCTTGGACACTCTGATATTTTGTGCTGCGCGGGCTTAATTCAGTAATTACTTCGTGAACTCATTGAATGGAAGAGCGGGAAAATTAAGCTCACTTCAATGAGAAATTTAAAATATAGATATGACTTGAGTTTTTCAGACTCCAATTCTAGGAAATACTTCCTGAGTGTTGTTTCAAACAAGCAAATTATCGAGCATACATGATGATGTATCATGATGTTGATAATCAATATACTGTTTGACGAAAGTCAGGAAGAGGTCAGCGGTCAGCGTCAGCAATTAATTGAGGCCACCCCACAGGCAGGTCTGAGGAGGGCGAGGCACATTACAGTAACCCTTAATTGGCTTACCGTATACAGTTATATTCTAAGTTCACACATCCGTTGTCGCCGGACCAACGATGTGTCGAGTGAGGCTAAAAACGGGCCCCTCTTGGACAGGTCCACTTCCGGCAGTGGATTACCGCCAGTTTTGGCTAGGCGGTGGGGGATGTCCAGGCCATCAGCATCTATGAGTGAAGTCGAAGAAAATGTACCCTCAGTCCCCTGGCAGAGAGGACAAGGCAGAGGAGGAGAAATCTCACGGAATCGGCGATGCAAGAATAGACCAATTGATATCAGAGCTAGACAGATGTGCAGTCGACGTGAGGTGTGTACAGGAAACGCTGAGGCATCAGGCAGGGACGTGGTAACTGGCATACAGGCCATGACATCTCAGGAGCAGGATCGAACAGCGGAAGAAGCGGTGGAGTTGGCTTTGTTGTAGCCCCACATTTGAGACCGAGGATATCCTATTATGAGTTTTTCTAAGAGAATTGCGGTGCTCCTACTTATATACAGGCAATACTACACGATGAAGATAATATCAGCATATGTACCAACTGGAGCTTACGACGATGATGCTGTAGAGGAATTCTATGATACCTTGGAAAGGGCAATAAGCAATTCTCCAAAAGGAACTTACATCGTGTGCGCTGGTGATTTCAATGCTACCTAGGCCGAGGAAATCCTGAAGAAAACTTTGTTGGACCACTGGAAATCCCAGGCAGAACAATCGTGGAGAGCCGCCCGAATCAGCGAACGGTTTCGATTAGCTGTGGCAAATTCTTACTTTCAAAAACGCGAAGGACGTGCCATGCCCCGAATAGATAGATGCACTATGAAATCGACTTCTTCCTAACCAATCGCCTGCGACTTTTTCATAACGTAACGGTCATCGGAGAGTCGCATTTTCAACATTGGCTCGGCCCACCGAATAGTCAGAGCAACAGTAGCAGTAAAACTCAAAGAAGAACGAAGACGACTGGCCGCAACCACTCGCAACGATTTCGATATCTACTATTCGGAAAAAGACTGGCCCGGGTGGTGATTCAGGACGTACAACCCTTTTTCAAAACGGTTTGTTGCATGTTATAAGGGTGGGTGAGAGGACACAAAGGTAGCCTTCATTTCCTTCGAATCCTTGCATTTGTCATAAGTCATTTGTCATTTGTCACGAAGTGGTCCAAGGTTTGCCCTCTCGCAGGGACAAATTTTATCATTTTTGCGAAAAAAGTGGCATCAGCGTGGGCAGCGGGTGTCATATCTGAAATTGGGACCATCGACAACCTATTAATGGACTTTGACCAAAAAACTGGTGAAGAATGTTGCGACACCAAAACGTCGCCGATGTGGCGCCCAGTGGTGTCATAGTGACTTCAGATGACGTATACGCCAAAAACGAATAACATATTCGTATGGGATACTAAATAACCTCTACGTCTGAAGTTCCAGGGAAATGTAAGATTTCGACCCAACCTCGAATAGTTGTACCATGGGGAGACCAGTACTGTTG